TGTTGACAGAATGTTATTATTTTAGAGAAGGATAACATGCTTTATGTTTAAAACATTATGCAAATGTTCTGTGGTAACAATTTACGAACATATTTTTACATTGTTAGAACATAAAGACATAATATTCCTGTAATTGTTCAATTCAAAATTCCTGGGTAAGTGGACTGACCACTGTGGTCATTAGGATGATTTTGATAGTTTGATAGTTTACTTAACTATTGGAATTTGACTAATAACATATGTAAAAGGATGAATCGGAATCAGCTGGTGAAAGTAGCTTGTTTATTAGAAAAGGGGAGCTGGGAGTGGAGGTTGGTTATGGCAGCAGTGGGAAACAGTTGTTCCAGGGTGGAGAGGCCTGGCTGGTCTTGGGAGTGTGGAAGGCTTTGGATTCCTCCTGGGAGAGACATAAAAATGAGTGTGAGGCAAAAGCAGGCAAAGTTGTCAAAGAATGGTAAAAAGCTAGAGCGGCACGCAACAAACCGTTCACGCCAGCGATCCGGCAGGGAATGAGTGCAGGCTGCAGGCTTTGACGGCTGAAGTATTATTTGAATTATTTGAAGGATTAAAGTAACGTGTTATGGTAGGAAAGTTCAATCTGGTATATTCATTTTAATGTCACCTTATATATATTCATGTGTGTTAAATTTGAAGGGACAAAGTATATTTTTCCTCCCCAATATATTGAGGTGAAGTCTTTGTGTTTAGAGAGGGATGTGAGCAGGGGACATCCTTATTTGGGGATAGCTCCAAAACTCAGGAATGTTTCCCTCATAAAAGAAGAGGGTGCGTTACACATGCTTAGGGCAAATGTGTGTGTTTTCATTGCAGTAAATATATGTGCTGCGTGATTACTGTTCAACTATACCTCTGTTTTTATTCTTTCATGTGTGGGTACTAAATGGCTACAAACATTGTGGAGAATAATTTCTCCACAATGTTTGTAGCCATTTAGTACCCACACATGAAAGAATAAAAACAGAGGTATAGTTGAACAGTAATCACGCAGCACATATATTTACTGCAATNGCATTTCACGCCGGGAGTGCATAATTTGGCACAACACCGGTGTTATGCATGCCCACTGCACCTCGCGGGAGCACGCAACAGCGTAAAGCAAAAACTCCCAGACATTTCAATGATTTGTACGGCAAAGTTAGGTCTGGAAACGACATAACGGCATAACACCGCAGCCGCACTGCCCTGGTGTTCAGATTTTTCCGTCATTGTTAAAAAAAATCCATCATAGACGAAATATATTCGGTTAACGCGACCTCTGGCTGTCATTGGCTGAGATAAGTCCGGCCGTGCGTCACGACTCTTTGAAACATCTCTGTTCCCGGAAATGCATCCGCGAAGGAGCCATGGAGGACCCATCAGTGTATCCTCGGTTATAGCTCCTCCAGAGAGCCTCCTCGACGCTCGATCCTCGGTCTTCAAAGTGCATTTCGAGAAATGAGATGTCCTTCAACATGGCGCGCTGAAATTCATATCCGGGTCACTACCGGAGGGTCGAGGAGGGGGATTTGATGAAATGAGAAAGGGCCCGGGCTGCGGTGGTTTGTTGATACATGTCGTCTTCTTCTGTTTGCTTTAATCGAGGCTAAGTAGTTATGCAGCGCCCCCATCGGCAGTAAATGGAAGTACTACAAAATACCCCGTTTAGTATTATTTCACAAGTTTTGTTAAATACACAGCTCGAAAAAAATTACCGAGGTCCGGACCTCGGTGACCTCAATGGTGGATACAGCCATGACCACAGTGGACATTACCTTTGAATTAATTTGTCTGAATGTAATTTGTGATTGCAGCAAATGCCGCGCTTGAATCGTTTGAATGTCAATCTCCCGTTTGTATTGGCTTCAACTCAAGCCTGGGGATTTTAAGGTGAGCTCAACCCAATCTATTTACTCTGCACTCTACAAAGGTCAGGAACCTGTCTGTGTCACAGTTAAGAATCCCAAGCCGGAGTTTTTAATTAACCATTTTTATTTCAAATGTTTGTCGTTGGCTCAGACTTGGAAAATGTGAGACTTGCCAATTATCTTTCATATATAATCTGCAATTGTCTTTCAACCCGGCTGTTTATGAGAAAGACTTAAGTTGTTTCTATAAATGGCAATATTTGATATGTATCCAGCTGAACTGCAAAGCCAGGCTGCAGTTTTAATGAAACATTCTCTACACAGAAGCTGAGAGGAAAGGGCACTGCTTTTTACGGTCACTCAACGTTTATATAATTGATAAGAAATTAAGAGTGAAACTTCCTCTGGAGGAAACTTTAGGTTTTAGCCTTTGCAGACCACTTACATGCACACATATATAAAAACACACTACATGAAAGGGAACACCACAGAAAGCACAATATGGCCTCTTTAAAGATTTATTATGTCTGTGGAGACTGTCCCTAGGTTAAAAGCTAGTGACCAGAATACATGTTAGTTCTTCAATGCGTTGGGCAAAAAGACACATTTATATTTGTCTGTTACTCAATCTCTGGTAGAGCCGTAATGAAAAAAAAACACGCTTAGTTAAAGTTTAACTGTTGGCAACTCTATAACTTGTAACTTGTATCTGTATAAAAGTGTACTCGGTAGAGAGCAGATTCACCTTCCAAACAAAGTAGAGCATTAGGTCTTTGAGCATACAATCATAAATATGCACAAAGAGATTTGGCTGAAGGGTCCCGTACTATGTGAGATCATCAAGGCAAACAGACGGATAACACACACACTGACCGGACACACGAGCCACCCCCCACCACTTAAAGATAATAAAACAGTTATTTGTTGGTCTTAGTCCAGACTTTTAAGAACCACATTTATTTGGGTGCTGTTCAATTATTATTTTCTGATTCAGTACCTAATGTACATGACACTATACCCCTCTAATACCTTGCTCCCATTGCTTCCAGGAGAGACTTAAAGGTCCCCTATTATGCAAAATGCACTTTTTAATGTCTTTTATACATAAATATGTATCCCCGGTGTGAAAGGAGACTCACAAAGTGTCAGTAAATACAACCCTCTCTCTTTTTTTCCTCATCCACATCTCTAAAAATGGGGCTACAACGGACCTGATCCAGATTTGCTGCGGTCATGACAACATTGCTAAAATATTGGCTGGCTTTACGCCCACGGCCCATCAGAAACGTCGCTATCAGAAACAATGCGCGACATGTTTTGGAATTAATATGGTCTGTGTTTACATTAGCAAGCGTCGCTAACACTCAGAGCTAACCTGCACTGGAGAGAGTATGAGTAAAAAAGCCGGATATAAAAAGGTACTGTCCTTGTGGTAAACCCGCAAGAAAAAAAGCATTTGAGCTCCATACTGTTTCAGAAGTAATCCTTGATTAGGTTTGGAACATCATATGGCGTTTCATCACGGCAGCATTTTCTACGTAACATTAAGTTTGGCTCTTTTTCTGCTGTAACAACGTACATTTCCCCTCTGTGGGACTAAGTATTCTGATTCTGATTTAGCTGAGAATCTGGGTAGAATTCTCCTGCATAAACATGCATTAAGCTACAGACCCAGAATCAGCACTTCTCTAAAGGGCTGAAGTAGAGGGGTATGATGCATGGCTAGAATGGGTGATCTGTTTGGTATTCTGAGCAAAACACCTATAATATATGACTACAAATAGTATAATAGGAGACCTTTAATTTAACAGTGAAATTAAGCTGTTGACATGATGGTGCACAATGAAGTTTTAAAATGCGAACAGACATTTTGAACCCATCGTGTAGTTATCAGCACAGTCCAGAACTGCTCACTATGTAAGGGATATTGTACAACACATACTGTGATACGTACTCGAGGTGAATGGGGTAGGAATGAAAGAAAATCTGTCAGCCTCAGAGAGAACCGTTTATAACAGCAACGATGTTTTACGTTTACAGAGATATTGGCATAATCCAATGGTTTAACCAAAATATGTAAACGCCAATGGTTTGTGGGTTCTAACATTTAGCAGTTTCCTTAAGACTAATCGCATTTGTGGGGTTATAAATTACAGATTTATCATTACTCAAGGGGGCAGCAGATTTGTTTCAGTATTTGGCATTTGTTGTCTCTTGATACTTATTTGCTCTGCAGTGCATGAGGAATACAAATGTAATGTTAATATGCATGATTATTGAGATGAATGGTTCAAGAAAAAAAACGGTATTTTTAAAACTGCAAAACCTCCCTGGGCGACGATGTAATAAGAGGGGCTAATTTCCAAGTATACATCAACAGCGAACTCTCATTCATGAGCACATGCCTTTCCTCCAGATGAGACTCATCTGTTCAGAGAGTTCTCTTTCAAATGGAATATAATTCAATATATTTGACGGTATTAGTATATCAGTCTGGCTATTGTTCGGTAAAATTGATATTTCTCTTGAAGGTTACTTAAAACCCGCAGATGCATTATGAGACATTTCCAACAGATGATTGGAAAGTGGAATTCAATGAAAACTCAGCACAGTATTTTTAGCTGCACAGTTTCCTATGTTCAACCGACAAAATAACTGCTCAAAATATGTATACTGTATATTTACATTGTGTTTTTCAGCAATGAGAACCAGCTGAGAAGAAGTACTTTGATTTTTGATTAAAAGTTCAGTGCTGATGAATATATTAATTGTACTGGTATCTATGACTGTGATTGTGTTTTTTTTTTTTTTAAATGAAACTCCTCTGATAACACCAGAGCTTGTCATTGTACAAACAACCTTTTACTGTAATTGTCCCAGTTAGGCAGTATGGATTTCTTACAGTCAATGGCATAAAAAGCCATTCTGGCTTCAAGCAGTCTATACAGTTACAACAGCTGGATTTAAATTCAATCAAATGTGCAATTTGTTACATTTTCATTTGCAAAACACCTTGTGAATTGGAGTTTAAAAACCAGGTCACATTGCTTATGAGCTAATTGTTTGACAAAGTAGCATATACCTGATAATAATAACTTAACTGTTTCTTGATCGATTTCATGATTTTGTTTGTAGCACGTAAACTAAAGAAGATTGGACAACAGAAAAACCAAGAAGAGGATCATCCTATTCAGGAACACTCAGAGGTCATCCAGAACCCCGCTCCTACTTCAGGCCTGAGCTACAACTCCCAGATGGTCTTCCTCAACATCCTGGAGTCCATCGAACCGGAGGTGGTGAACGCAGGGCACGACTACGGGCAGCCAGACTCCGCTGCCACCCTGCTCACCAGCCTCAACGAGCTGGGAGAGAGGCAGCTGGTCAAAGTGGTCAAATGGGCAAAAGGGTTGCCAGGTAGGATGCTACTTACATTTTTTTAGCTTCTTAATGCTTATCTTTGTTCACCAGCTGCTCGCTAACGCAGAACTGCAGAGTCAGGTGAAAACTCTGTGTGCCCCGCTTTACGTACAAGTACATTTTTGATTTATTGGGCTTGGCTCAGGGTGTGATTGGTCATCTATCAATTGAAGGGTCAGTGGTTCAATCCCCAGCCCCTGCAGTCAACATGTAGTGTCCTTAGCAAGCTACTGAACCCCCAAATTACTCTCAGTAGAGGTTATTTTGAAGTCGCTTTGGATAAAAGCAGCTAAATATAATGTACTGATTATATCTTTTGAAGTACTTTGAGTCAGGAAATGTGTCCCTGTATAATAACAATTATTGAGTATGTTTTTGCATGGATGAATAAATAGAACCTGACAGTGTTGGAGGCGGTACCCCCGTTGTTGCTCAGTGGTGCATGAAGCCAAAATGGCCTGACACAAGAGCAAAATAACCCGTATCTGGGCCCATGGAGCATGCGCACTTGAGTTTTCCTTAAGCCCCGCCTCCAATCTCCCGCTCTCAGGTCAGTGAACTGATTGGATAGGGAAAATAACTTGATTCAGCTTTTAGACCCTTATGATTTAAATAAGGGCAATAAAGGTGTCCGTACTGGGTAGTTGATTTAGTTACAAAAAGTTTGGAGGGACCTGGGCAATTCCTGGCGGATGTCATGCTTCTATTTCCAGCTTATTGATCGAATAGTGCTCACTGGGATATTCAAAGGCTTGGATAATATTGTGTCGCTTTTTCCAAATATGTGCATGTCTATGACTTTATCTCTAACTTCCTTGCTTTCTCTGGTCTGGTCAGCTGTTCTTGAGATTCACTGACCAACATTAGTTAGACTTAGGAGGTTAGGAATCAATTGTTTGCGTAATTTACAAGCCAACTGAAAGATGTGTGTCATCTGCATAGGTATGGAAAGAGATGGTGGGCCTCCTGATGACACTGCCAAGTTGATATAATATTGAGATCAAAAAGTAGCGGCCCTAAAATCTATCCTTGGGGAACTCCACAAGTCGGACTGTCAAGATAAATACGTTATCGACCTTGCTGTCACTGAGGAACTGCACACTGCTAAAGCAGCCTCCCTCTCCTCTGTCATCATCTTTCTGGACCTGTCTGCTGCATTCGACCCGGTGAATCATCAGATCCTCCTTTGCACTCTCCAAGAACTTGGAGTTTCAGGCTCTGCACTTTCCCTCCTCACCTCATACCTCAAAGACCGCACCTACAGGGTAACTTGGAGAGGGTCCGAGTCCGACCCTTGTCAAGTAACTACAGGGGTCCCTCAGGGCTCTCTTCTCGGTCCCCTCCTCTTCTCCCTGTACACAAACTCGCTCGGGTCTGTCATTAGCCCGCATGGTTTTTCCTACCACTGCTACGCTGACGACACCCAATTAATTCTGTCCTTTCCCCGCTCAGAGACCCAGGTCGTCGCACGTATCTCTGCTTGTCTAAACGAAAATGGTTCGAAGGGTTTGAACTTAGACAAACCTCTAAGGGGTACTACACGAAGGTGGGCGACCCACTACCCGGTCACGCTTTTGTGTGTCTGGGTGCCACCAAAGTCGAGTTGCTCGTATGTGTGGCGACGACTGTAGTGACGCTTGACCATCACCAGTCTTCACACCTCCGTTACCATTCCCACGTATTTAAGTCACATATAGTCTATTAGTTATTGGACAGATGATACAACCAACTCAAAAATGGCGAACATACTCAGTCCTACGTTGTAATAAACATAAGTTGACAGAACTTAAGAAGAAAAGACAAAGAGAATTAACTGAAATAAATAAAGGAGAATTATACATCTGTTAACAATTTGGAAGTAAGATTTAAATTTAAAATGTTGTATCCAGACGAATTTTAGCTCAACATCACACGGCTGTCGAGTCGTTTACTTAGTACGGCAGTACTCCTCGGCGCACCTAGTCACGAAAAACGTTTTCCCGGAAAAAAAAAAAAATATATTTTAGACGGAAATAAATACTGATATTTCTCGTTACCTTAATCAACTAAAAATCGTTTTATATTGTGAACGGACTTTATAACTAATTTTATTTACTAATTTCCGCGTGAATTGAACTTATGTAGTCGGTCCAATGTCAATGTGACTGAACACGCCCTCAATTAAAAACCCCAACAAATAAGTAAATAAAAGATAAATAAAATAAAGTTGTACTTCGGTAATTTCATATGACCGAAATCAACACCGTCTACAGTAACGGTTTTTGATCCAAGAGTCACCCCTCCCTTGGAACGCAAGGTTATAAAACAAAGGGAACCCTAGTAAACCGTACTGCCCTTGCCAGTCGGTAGAATTTTTCCCGGTGACTTTACAAACAGTCAGTACAAAAATAGCGGTGTCCCGGTGTTGCCCGTCCCCGGCGCACCGTCACAAGAACCAAAATTTCTCGGTTGAACGCGGGTCCAAAAAAAAAAAAAAATGATGTAAATACGAATTGAACGGACTTTTAATGTTTAATTTTTACAATTACGTCCTAAAAGTATACAAAATGTTCTGTATTCGCGTCGCTTAAGTCACCTTTACCCTCGGGGCGAAAACTCGAGACGTGATGAAATTTGACGGAAAAAAAGGTAAAAAAAATTGCGAGTAATGCAGTTGCGCAGTATAATGCTAGTGTACCCCCCTCGACTTGAAAGAGCTGAGCAAGAGAACGGGTTAGACGCTCGCATCGATCAAAACATCAAAACCATAACGTCGCGCAACACTAAGTCACTCGACCATAAAAGCCATCAACAAATTGTAACGTAAAGTAGTAGACATAGTACTCGACTCGAACACAACACGGGTCCAACGTGTTTGATGTTGGATAGTCCGCGGGTAGCTCAGGTGTCAAAAGGGAGTGCGCCGTTTTCCTATGGCGGCTGGAAATCGCAAGCAAGGACCCGACGCAACACGAGGGAGGGACGTCGTGTAGGAAGGCGAGAGGTGTCGAAATAGTTCGTTGGCATAATGTAGAGAGAGGGTGGAAGCACGGAGAGAGCAGGGGAGGGCCAGTGCCGTGGCGGGTTCTGATCACACCTCATACGTAATCCCGATGCGACCACCACCGACATGACGAGGCGGGCCGAGAGGAAACACAAACAACAAGGGGCAGACACAAACAAACACGACACGCACCACCGGACGTGAGGACCCGAAGGGGCGCGAGTTGGAGTGCAAGTGGACGACGTTAGTCGACCACGTGGGAGGGCTGATGTGTGTGACGAAAGTAGTTCGGTAAATGTTGCCGGTATAGTTGCCCCCCCGAGGTGTTGGAAAAGAGGCGTAGGTCTAGCGTCATAGTCGGGCATAGAGCGCAAGAGGGGAGGCCGATGTGTCGTGCATCCACACACTCAAGCGTAAATCGCATTGCGCTGCTATGCCCGACTATGAACGCGGTAATCAAAGCACAAGTACCTAGTCGATAGTTGTCAGGACGGGTCCATTTTGCGAATTGATATAAATAGTCTATGATGGAAATCGAATATCGGACTTATACTACGTAACGGATTGCATAATGTTTACAACATCTACACTGCAATTGATTGTAACGGGGATTGCGGCCAGTGAGTGGTTCGTGTGACGGAGACAAAGAGTGACCAAGAGGTGTGGTGGTTTCGAGGTAAAGAGAGGCTTTACCCCCCGGCCAATAAAAAAGATTAGGAACCCGACGGGAGGACCAGAGAACCTGCGGAGTCGTCCGAGTATTAAATATAGTATGAGTAAGCTATATATAAAGTTTGGAGAAAGACCGACATATTTTGATCGTAACGACTAGGTACAAATAAGTATGGGCAATCTGGCCCTGGCGAGAGGGGGATAAGGGGGGTTACAATGGCAGTGTGCGGGCCCTCCGAGTGCACGCCTCCGAAAAAATACGCCTTCACTTTATACAGAAAAATGAATTTTGCGCCGGGGTGCTACGAGTGCATCCCATATAAAGACATATAAAACCCTTTTAACACATAAGAGGAAAAGTGTTGTAAATAGTGACCACAGAGCATTGGACGTTTTTTGGGGGTCACAACGGAGAAATTTATACGACAAATACCACCCCCTGTCTGAAAGCCCACAATACAAAATACATTCAAACGACACAAAAGAGAAAAATCGCAAACTTATTGGATTGAAACGATCACCTCCTTCAAAGTTGAAATTTTGTATTCGTATTTCGTATTAGGATTTGATTTCGACCTCACCATGCGGGGCACAACAGGTTGGGAAACCGACCCTCATTTTGGCTTGTGACTGGTGTCCTCGTCATTACGCTACACCTTTCTCGAAATTTTCCAGAACGTGCTATGGTATTACTACAGTTTCGACAAGTAGACACAATAAACCCCAAAACCTTGCGTACAATCATTAATATTATATTATGTTTATAATTAGTTAAAATAATTTACTGAAAACACCTATTTCAATTTTGTTGGTCGGGTCGTATTAATGTTTCGTTAAGTTTAATCGAGATTTAATTGGTCGACACCCTTTGTGAGATTTTGTATTATTAGTATTTGGCCAATTAATTTATTTATGTTAAGACCTTAACGCCAGTATCACGGTATTACTCATGAAAAGAGACACCGTGGTCATTCATATAAACCGTACGGTTATGAAAAGACGATGAAAATGGAACCAATATATCATATAATAATAAAAAATGTTAAATCATAACCGATTCCACATGGAGTCAGTTTTGTACACGTATCCTTATACACTAGTCTCTAATCTAACTCCTACTTTGGGACGAAAATTATCCCGGGGGATGACTGACTCGGTGCCGGGCAGGTGACTGACTTCCCAAGTGACCTTTTAGGTATATCCCCTAAACGCCCTTTATTAAAAGCTCGCAAGCGACAAACCTACATCCTAACTTTGGGTCCTCTACGACGACACGAGAATCGCAGACGGGTGTGAAATACCCTCATGGTATGATTAGGAATCTTAGTGGGAAAATTAATTT